CACACACACACACACACACACACACACACACTACGTACACACATACATGTTCCCTCTGTCTCTCAAGATAAGAAGCCACAGGCACACCTGCCCAACCTTCCCTTAACAGTTGGGGAATGCCAAGTTCACCACGAGCTTCCTCCACCCCCTCAGAGGAGTATAGTGGGGCTGTATCCCAGGGCTCTGGTTTCCCCTATCACACAGGTCCAGAAGACCAAGGATGTTCTTTAGTTATAAGGCCTGGAGGATTCCTATTATGGATCATCATCTCTGGCTTTATTTGTTTGATTGCTGGTCTTATTTTGTAAGCTGAACTTGTCCTGATACCAAAGTATTTCCTATTCTTGACCTTTCATGAGAAGGCTAGGGATCAGCACCTATTTATGCATGGGCTTGCTCCGAGTGACTGTTGACTGTGGACTTTCTTGTTGTTAGTGGTTCCTCCTGGGGCATCTGTTTTAGTGGAAATATTCCTTTTCTGCAGACATGACAATCTTGACGGGGATGTCCTTGGTCATCTTGTATCATCCAAAAGGCCCCACCACAAAAGCAAGCCCGTGCACTTGGTTGCAGGTGAAAGCCCCGCTTTAGTGTCTGCGTGGGAGAGGATGGACAAGCTTCACTCTTCAGAGTCTTCCGTGGACATAAAGAGGACCGGAGAGAAGACAAGGCCAAAGTCGGGTCTGATCGTCCGAGGCATGATGGCTGGGCCCGTGGCCAGTTCCACACAGGTGGGGCTGCTGCTTTTTCTCCTGTTGTTAGAATGGGGAGCGAGAACTGGGCCGGAGGCACTGCCTGGGCTTATCAGGGCAACCCCAGGACAGCCCAAGAAGGGGGAATCTGTGCACAGGGCAGGAAGATCATCTGCCTCTGTTCTCTCCCTGCCTCTATGGTCAATGACCCGTGGGTCCTTGGACAGGCTTCATCTCCTTCCCATCCCTCAGTTTACCCCTCTTGTCAAGGATGCCTCGGTTTTCTATTTCTTTACAGAATAAAAACACACAATCTCATTTCCATCTTTGGAATCCAGGAGGAGGGGACCTCCCCACCTCCAAAGAATATCTTCTTTAAAAAGATGATAGCTCAAAGGGAGTACAAACCCCAGTCCTTACACTCTCGGTTGTTCTGATTTTATTTTTTCTCTTTTAAAAAAGTCTAAAAAGTTGCATCATTATATTAATCTCCTTGAAGGAAGGACCGTGTTATGTTCCCATTAGACAGGGAGATGCCACTGAATGAGAGCACACATGTAAGAGGCATTAGCAAAACATGAAGTAGCAGAAAAGCAAAGCAACATCAAACAGCAGACTCCAAGGGCAGCATCAGTCATGTCCGGGAACCAGAGCAGACTGAAAGATAACCCGTGGCCTGTGCCCTGCCCGCAAACTCACTCATCTGTGTGTGTGGATGTGGCTGGACACACTGGCTCTATTCTTTTTACCCCTTTAGGATGAGGACAGAAAGAAGCAGGTCCTTTCCCTGCCTCTGCTTGGGTCCTATGGGATCTTTCCTCAAGGCTTGTATTTCTCTTGTCAGGGAGGTGTCCGAGGCCCCCTCGGGCTCTGGGATCATGCATCTTGGTGTCCAGATCAAGGGAAAGAGTCTTCCCTTTGTGGGGTTCAGGCCACAGCTTGATGTCCTAGTGACTTGTTAAAGAGAGAGAGTCATCAACTGCTCTGTGTCCAGAATGAAGGGGCTAGGAAGGGGAAGAGTTTGGAGAAAACTCTAAGATGGTGATATTTAATCTCAAGGTCTCCCTGGCAGAATGGAAGAGATTTCTTTAAATATGGAGGCAGGAAGAGCCTCCTGTTTAGACCCAGGATGGCAAATATGTGGCTTTTGGACTAAGTCTCTGTGGTGCTGTGCCTGCAGCAGACATTACTAGTTGACCTCAGTTCTCTCTTTCTCTTTCTCTCTCTAATCAACCATGGACGAGACTTTAGGACCTCCTTGGTATCTGCAGGTAGTGGCTGGCTCTCAACAGATGGATTGGAGTGGCATCTTTGATGAGCCTTATTATCCATCTTGGGTGTAGTCCATAAGCCTCCTGAGATCAGGGAATGCCATCACAGGTCCGTGGAGCCCCAGGTGTGTGCTTGCTGGCCTTCGTGAAATTGAGTGGTGTAGACTTGCTTGGTGACTCCAGAGAACACAGTTGGCCCTGTGGATCTGAGGATCTCTATCTCTCTGGAGCTGCTCATCAGTGGACCAGGTTGTTTTGGAAGAGACTGGACTAGTCCTGTTAAGGGCAAGCTACTTAGTTCATGAGGTAGGGACACGGAGGTGGGGACTTGTCTGGTTGCAAGTTTAGACCACAGCATTAGTTCTGAGACTTTGCAGCTTCTTATGCTCTTAGAATTACTGAGGAACATAAGAGCTTTTTTTTTATTTTTAATGTGGATTGTGTCTGTTGACACTTATTATTATTAGAAAGGAAAACTGAGAAATTAAAAGTGTTCACTTATGAAATCATTAAAATAACAGTAGTGAACGTATTATATTTAACACAGTGTATTTTTTTTAATGAAAAAGTGATATTTTCCAAAATGAAAAATTATTGAGATGAGTAACATTGTTTTACTTTTTTTTTTCAAATCTCTTTAATGTCTGCCTTATAGAACATAATTCAAGCCTCATTTTTGCTTTTGTATCTGGTCTGTTGCAATGAAGTGTTTTAGTTGAAGTATATGAAGAAAATTTGGCTTCAGATAAACAGTTGGAAAAGGGAAAAGGTATTTTCATAGCTCTTTTGGAAAACTAAGATATTCTTCTTTGATACTGCCCGAAAAGTATACAGGCTTTGGTTTCTTTTCTTTTTTGGGAGGTACAGGAACAATTTACTACTGAGCTACATCCCTAGCCCAGTTTTAAAAACCTGGCCTTGAATTTTCGACCCTCCTGCCTAAGCCTCTAGAGTTGCTGGGATTGTAGGCATACACCACTGTGCCTGGAAGAACTATAGATTCTTAATATGGAATCTTAACCCATATCAATAAACTTTTTATTCTTTATCAATTTCCATTGATCTTTCTTGCAATTTGAATCTTTTGTCCCTGCACGATTTAATAATGTGATGCCTTAGTCATTTGGAAAACATTACTGAGTTATACAGGTCTTCCAATCAAGGATACTTTTAATTATATATAAAAAAATTGCATGAGAAGAGTTTTTAAGTACTGTGAAGCCCTCATGCTCACAGTGGCAGATACAAGTTTTCCAAAATCCCAGTTTTTACCTGGCAGCTTATATTTCATCACTGACAACAATGTACCATTTGTTTGCCTTGATGTGACAGGCTCAGTTTTGTTTTTTTTTTTTCAAGAAATGCCTGCCAAATACCCAAATCTGAATCACTAGTCTGTCAGTGATTCCATGAAAATCAGCGAGTTTGCTCACACTTTAGAAAGCTGCCCAAGCGCTGACCACCATCCTTCACACTTTAGCAGAATGTGTAGGCATAGTTCCCATCTGGTCATACAGAAGATGGAAAAGGTGTGTGCTGCTCTGTCTAGATTTAATAAAGTCAACAATATCTAGGTTTCACCATGGATATTCTTAAGTGAATTTGCATTGTGTTTATTCACTTTTATTGCAAGCAGATGGTGATGGAGAATACCTTGAACACCAGTGAAATTTGATGTTGTTGCCTCGACTCATGCTCAGGGCCAGCAGTTTCCCTCACTATTGCTTTGTGTGTGAAGTCAACACCCTGAAAAGGCCCAAGCATTACTGTCTCAGTCAGTTTTCTATTGCTCTAGCAAAATACACGGTGCCCGTTAATCTATAGAGAAAAGAGATCTGTCTAATCAGCTCACAGTTTTGGAGGCTGGGAGTCCAAGGTGGGGAGGGCCTATCTGCTTGGGCCTTCTGGCTGCATCACGACATGGCAAGTGGCATTGGGACAGGACCACATGTGAGAGAGGCTGCCGTCATGGAAAAGAGGGATTCAGAGGAGGTGCCAGGCTCCCTTATGATAATTTATTCTTGCAGGAATTAATCCAGTGCCATGAGACCAGGGTGTCCATCTCTTACAAGGGTGGTGTCCCTGTGGCCTCATTACTGTTAAAGGTCCAACCACCTCAATACTGCCACACTGGGGACCAAGCTTGAAGCCCATGAACCCGTGGGGGGGGCACACTGAAACCGTAGACAAATCACAGTAATTAGTATGCAGGGGCCGGTAGATCCCACTTTGAGGACCAATGGACCAGGTGGTCACCAAGATCCTGTCCCACCGCCACATTCCAGCCAGTCAGTTTTGTGCAGTTGAGATACTCTTGTAACTGTGAGGCGAGGGAGGTGGCTGGACTCACCTTACCACATGGTGTTTCTGCAAACTTCTCCTTCTAGTAATTGTTTTGGAAGGTGAGGTTTTCTCCTGGGGCTTCTGAATCCTGTGAAGGACATGGAAGGATAGGTTTCCAGATTTCCTGGAAGGTGTTTTGTGTTTGGGCCATATTTATTGGTTGCTTAAGAGAAAGAAGCCCAAGCGTGCCAGGCATTTCATCATTTTTTTACTCCTACATCAGCTCTGCACTGAGGGATAAAATAAAAGGCCAGAAGGTTTGAGTCTCGTTGGGAATGGTGACTAATGTCTCGCTCTGTGCAGGGGAGGATGCCCTGGGCAGCTTTTGGAGCAGGTTTATAGTGTCTGGTTATTTCCACTAGGTCAGAATGTGACAAAATTAGCTCTCCTTATTCCAGCCCAGGCTACCATTTGGCCCTGAATTATTTCTGGACGTGCCGAGAGGTACTAAAATCAAGGAAAAGCCCCGTTGGTTTATATTTGTCTCTCCCCACCTAATGGATCATGACAGGAGTTCCCATTTCCTCAGTTAATCGTCAATAGGGAAGCAAGGACATTTCAGTGGACTCCTTTGGAATTTCTTCATTTTAAAAATTAAGTGCACCTTGAATGCTTACGAGGCACTGGCGACTGAGCTGAGAGCTCTGTGGACGCCAGAAAGGAGTGAACAATGACCTCTGCCACTCCTGATCTACTGTCAGGGGTTGTTGACACCAGATGGAAATGGGGAGGGGGGGCAAAAAAGGGGGCACTCCTGTGGGCTGCTATAGTACAAACTAGAGCCTCATTTAATCCGCACCATGATTTCACAGGAGGTAAGTACTGCTGGCCGAACATCCCTCACCCAAAACTTGTTGGCCTGCTGGGTCTTGAGATCTCGAGTGCTTCTTTGATTTCAGTAAGAAAGCTCAGCGCCTGGATCAAAGCCATGTAACGCCCGTGGTGGCGGGATTTGCCGTAGTGTCCCATAAGCAAGTACACAAGGCTTTCCGTGGCTAAGCATTCAAGTCACCCTTAAAAAGACTAGAAGCAACCTCACAACCGTGGAAAAGCATTTGCCATGGGAATCCAACAGGAACTTTCATTTCCTGAGGCTTTAGGATTTAGAAATGGCAGGCGATGTACTCTGGACGTGAGGGACAGAGAAGTTCCATAACTGTCACAGGTGATCCAGCTGGTAGGTGGGGACGCAGGAATCAGAAACGAGAGTGGCAGCTTTCCCTGTCCACCCACCCGCTGTCCATCAGGGGTGTGAGGGAGGCCTGGGTGCTCTGGGTTTGTGCAGGTGGGGTGTGTGAGCCTGGGGATCAGGGCAGGAGTGGGGGCCAAAGGATAGGCAGGATTTTAGGGAGAAGAGTTGGTGACGGGGACAGACATTCCTGGGAGAGGGACCATTACGGGCCAATGGGTGAAGTATTTTTCCAACTCCCTTGGAAGGGGACCCTCAGTGCCTCTATCCTTCCCATCCCAGGATCCTTTATGGAAGCGCTCTCTGAGGAGGTCCCCGGCCCCCAGCAGCAAGACCCATTCCCAGGAGGAGGAGAGTGAGAAGGTGCCCGAGCTCTCCACCCATACCCCAGCCAGTGCAGCCTCACAGAACAACTCGGCCTCCAGCAGAGGCTCGGTCTCCAGGAGCCCCAGGAGCCCGCCCAGCGAGCCATCTGTGGAAAAGTGCAAGGCCACTCCCAGCAGCCCTCCCCAGACTCCCCACGCAGGACTGTCCCACTGGGACAAGACCAGACCAAGAGGTCTTTCAGAGGACAGCCCAGCAGAGAACGGTCCCGTCGGCCCCATGGAGGAGGAGAAATCGCCCATGAGGTCGTACCTGCCTGGTGGGTTTTCCAGGGTGACCCAGGAGAGGCTGCAAAGAGCATTCAAGCGGCAGAGCAGACAGCCCCCGCTTCTCAGGTGAGCACGCCTTGCAATAAGGTGGCGCCTTTTCAAAAAGAAATGCCACATCTCACGTGTAGTCCAGCCCCTGATGGCTTCCAGGGGCCCTTCTTTTTTTTTTTTTTTAATTTCTATATTTTTCGGGTATCAGGGGTTGAACTCAGGGGCACTCGATCACTGAGCCACATCCCCAACCCTACGGTGTATTTTATTTAGAGACAGGGTCTCACTGAGTTGCTTTAGTGCCTCAATTTTGCTGAGGCTGTCTTTGAATTCACGATCCTCCTGCCTCCGCCTCCTGAGCTGCTAGGGTTACAGGCACGGGCCACCGTTCTCAGTTCCGGGGGTCCTTCCTGTCCTAGCCAGTCTATGGAGTAGGCAGGGCAGGGTTGATTACAGTCAACCAGGAAAGGAATGGAGCCCAGAGGTTGCACATCTGGGAAGCCTCAGGGCAGGGTGGTCTCTCTGGTCCTTCTCACCTCTTCCCAGAGGTGAAGAGCCTCCAGCAGGTGGTCCCCAAACATGTAGTGACACAGACGGCTGCCTGAGATGAGAGATGTGGCCTGTGTTTCTAGATACAGCCACAGATTATATCCCATGAGGCTATATGCAGACATTATTTCTATTGATCTTACCCTATCCTTTTTATTTTTTCCACAACAGGTCTGGATAATTCCTACGCTGATTTTTAACGTTACACCAAACTTACACTCATGGAGTAAACCCCACTTGGATACGATGATCTCTCCCTTTATCATTGGGTGTGATTTATTGATAGGCTGTGTAGAGTTTTTGTGCACAAGTTCGGGAAGGAAAGTGGCTGATAGTCTTCTCTGGCAACAGCCTCCTGGGATTCTGGCACCTAGGTTATGTCATCAGCGGTCGCTGCTCTTCTGTTCTCTTGGAGCTGGGGCCGTGCCTCAGTGGTGGAGTGCTCACCTGATATGGATCTTTAATAACTGATTCTCAACTTTCTTCTTTTGAAATATACTTTAAGGCTGCAAGTTTCCCTCTACATAATGCTTTGTCCGTAGCCCACGAGTTAATATGTTATATGTTCATATAATTTAGCTAAAATATATCCTCATTCCCCTGGTGATTTCTTCTTTGACCCAGGAATTATTGATACATGTATTGAGTAATTCTAAACATTAGGAGATATTTCTCTGGTTATCTTTTTTTGTTTGTTTGTTTCTAGCTTATTTCTACTCTGGAGATATAAATGTATTTTTTAACCATTTCAGTTTTTGGATATATCTGTTGAGATTTCCTTGTGGAATAGTCTATATTTAAATCTTATTTCATAAGCAGCATATGCTTAAATTTTTAATGTGGTGTGATTTTTAAAAATTTTAATTGGAGTAGTTATTATATTTACATTTTTCTTTTGCTTAAAAAACTCTCTTTTAGTGCTACATTTTTTGAACTAGTTTTTGTTTGGAGGTGTTTTTGTTTTACCTTTATTTTTGAAGGTAGTTTTAATGGGTATAGAATTCTAGATGGATGTTTTGGTTGTTGTTGTTAATACTTTATGTCACTCCATTGTTTTAGACTTTCACCATCAATGTTGGTAAATCAGTTCAGTTTTATTGCTCTCCTAGAGGTAATGTGACCTCTGACTATTGCCCTATCTCCA